CTGTGTATGGATTATTTATGACCGTTGAGAATTAATTTTTAATTATTAGCCATGGGTGGGGCTGGAGACACGTGTTCTCAGCCCCACCCACGGGAATCGTTTATTTGCGGCCGGAATTCTTTCGTAGGAATTCCGAAAATTATCATAGGAATTCATAGGAAAGACGGGCTAATTATAGGAATAAAAAAAATTCAGGGAAACCAATTATTAGCCATAGGTGGGGCTGGAGACACGTGTTCTCAGCCCCACCCACGGGAATCGTTTATTTGCGGCCGGAATTCTTTCGTAGGAATTCCGAAACCTATCATAGGAACTCATAGGAATGTCAAACTAATTATAGGAATAAAAAAATTCAGGGAAACCAATTATTAGCCATGGGTAAGGGTTAGAGACACGTGTTCCCAGCCCCACCCACGGGAATCGTTTATTTGCGGCCGGAATTCTTTCGTAGGAATTCCGAAACCTATCATAGGAATTCATAGGAATGACGTGCTAATTATAGGAATAAAAATAATTCAGGGAAACCAATTATTAGCCATGGGTGGGGCTGGAGACACGTGTTCCCAGCCCCACCCACGGGAATCGTTTATTTGCAGCCGGAATTCTTTCGTAGGAATTCCGAAACCTATCAAAGAAACTCATAGGAATGACGCACTAATTATAGGAATAAAAATAATTCAGGGAAACTAATTATTAGCCATGGGTGGGGCTGGAGACACGTGTTCCCAGCCGCACCCACGGGAATCGTTTATTTGCGGCCGGAATTCTTTCTTGTCGGAAAAAAACTGGTCGGTGTTGTGTGGTTTTGCTGCAGGCGCCGTCGACGTGGTCATCTGTGTTGATCTGCCGTGTACTGAGTCTATTGTCTGTGTGTGGCGTTTATATAAGTTAGCGATTGTTGTATCCCCACTCATTTATTATTACGTAACGTCAGAATTCATTGTTCACTTTTGTTACGTGAATTGCACATGTGCGTGTATTCATGTTGTGTATCCATATATTGTGGGCATTTTTTAGTCTATGGACGTCTCGGAAAGATTGTTATGTAATCCATAAGGAATGTTGGTTGGCTAATACCTACGTATTCTATTGTATTGAGTAATATGTTTTATTTTCGTTTGTGTTCTTACACCCAAGTATGAGCTTACCTGGTACCTACATTCATTTTACAAGTTAACTCAAATATATAGTGTATTATTCATATATAATTATAACGAATAAATAATTTATTTACTGTAACCTTAAATGTTTTTTTGTGTTTATTACACAGGTGTGATTATTGTTTTGATATACTTCCTAGTTTTTTTTTATAGTAGACAAAAATATTAAAGTAAATTTAGTAAAAATTTGTTTATACGGTAGGTAATACAACGCGAGTCGTGAACTTAATAATTTTAACTTATAATATGTATACAATAACCAGATACCAGAATTTTAAATCACACAATTTTCTTAAGCACATAAATATACTTAGGATCATGAAAAACAAATTCTGAAATACTATCGTAAGTTATAAAATTAGTGTGTAAATCAAACTACTTTTACACTTAAACATGGGATCTACGATGTCACTCGGCTATTCAACAACTTTCATTATCTCGTTAAATAATCATATTTATAACTATAAGTAATTAATAACCTTCGACCGATCGGTTTACATTTAGTTTTCGGGTCACATATGTATAGTATTTTGCGTCAGTTTTTTTTCTCAACTGAATACATTCACTTTTAAACGCTTTGGATGTATTATTAAGGATTCAACTGGAAGATGAGTGCATAGTTGTCGGTACCTATATTGGTGCATATAATATAATATTATATATTATTGTGGTGACTTTTTTTATACATTTTTCCTACGTTCTCACCGCTATTTAATTATATTAGAGTCTATAGATGAAGTCACGAAGATAGTCAGCGGGACTGTGGTTCTACAGCATTCTTTTGTTGAGGAATTATTTTATACTTTATAAACCTTTATATTGTACAATATTTTCAATGTTCAATGTTTTTTTCATTCCGTTGGTCCCACTCGGCTCATCTTAAATAATATTATTTTTATAGACCAAGAGAGCAAAACAAAATATAAAATATTTATAGACTTTTATCATCAAAGATGGGTCTTTGTAATTATTAATTTATAATATAAATTATGAATAATACATTTTAAACAAATAAATGTTTTAATACATGAGTCACTAATCTGTACGTGTGTGATAATTACTTTTTTAAATACATTTTCAATATTATATACGTGATATCATTACTTGGTTAGCTGATTTGCACAAAATTATACCAAAGAAATATAATCTATTACCATTATTGCTAACACGGTCTTGAAAGGTTTTCTCAATTGCTTAACATTAAAAAGATGAATTATAAGAAAGTCATTTCGAACTTTTTATTGTACACTAATCTAAGACGCACACACAAAGTGTACCAAAAAATCACTACTGAATTGAATTCGGACAACGACGTGACAAATGCTCAGGAGTCAGGAGAAAATTTCATACACAGGATGTTAGAAAATAAACTCAAACTCCACGAATGAATTATTGTAATGTCTATAGTAAGTATGTAAATTGTCGACATTTTAATGAAGCAATAAACTTGAACCTAGCTTATAGGTAGGTATAATGTGTAGTGTGATGATATATTAAATTTTTTCACACTGAAAAAAGAAAAAAAATATCAATTGTTGCGTTTAAATGGTACCTGCGATGTATGTAGTATTCATTGTTCATTTTAATGTTTATATACTATGTTATAAATATTTTATGTAGTCTTATACAGTTTGATGAAATTGATGAATACGTATATATAAAATATATTTTTCGTATTATTAAATTTTTTGATAAAAACTACGTGTTTATAAAATATATTGATCTTACTCAGAATGGACTGAGGTAATAATTATGTTTTTGAGGCTAATAATTGGTTTTCCTGAATTTTTTTTATTCCTATAATTAGTACGTCTTTCCTATGAATTCCTATGATAGGTTTCGGAATTCCTACGAAAGAATTCCGGCCGCAAATAAACGATTCCCGTGGGTGGGGCTGAGAACACGTGTCTCCAGCCCCACCCATGGCTAATAATTGGTTTTCCTGAATTTTTTTTATTCCTATAATTAGTACGTCTTTCCTATGAATTCCTATGATAGGTTTCGGAATTCCTACAAAAGAATTCTGGCCGCAAATAAACGATTCCCGTGGGTGCGGCTAGGAACACGTGTCTCCAGCCCCACCCATGGCTAATAATTGGTTTCCCTGAATTTTTTTTATTCCTATAATTAGTGCGACATTCCTATGATAGGTTTCGGAATTCCTACGAAAGAATTCCGGCCGCAAATAAACGATTCCCGTGGGTGGGGCTGAGAACACGTGTCTCCAGCCCCACCTATGGCTAATAATTGGTTTCCCTGAATTTTTTTTATTCCTATAATTAGCCCGTCTTTCCTATGAATTCCTATGATAATTTTCGGAATTCCTACGAAAGAATTCCGGCCGCAAATAAACGATTCCCGAGGGTGGGGCTGAGAACACGTGTCTCCAGCCCCACCCATGGCTAATAATTGGTTTTCCTGAATTTTTTTTATTCCTATAATTAGTACGTCTTTCCTATGAATTCCTATGATAATTTTCGGAATTCCTACGAAAGAATTCCGGCCGCAAATAAACGATTCCCGTGAGTGGGGCTTTGAACACGTGTCTCCAGCCCCACCCATTTCTAATAATTGGTTTCCCTGAATTTTTTTTTAATATAATTAGTACGTCTTTCCTATGAATTCCTATGATAGGTTTCGGAATTCCTACGAAAGAATTCTGGCCGCAAATAAACGATTCCCGTGGGTGCGGCTAGGAACACGTGTCTCCAGCCCCACCCATGGCTAATAATTGGTTTCCCTGAATTTTTTTTATTCCTATAATTAGTGCGACATTCCTATGATAGGTTTCGGAATTCCTACGAAAGAATTCCGGCCGCAAATAAACGATTCCCGTGGGTGGGGCTGAGAACACGTGTCTCCAGCCCCACCTATGGCTAATAATTGGTTTCCCTGAATTTTTTTTATTCCTATAATTAGCCCGTCTTTCCTATGAATTCCTATGATAATTTTCGGAATTCCTACGAAAGAATTCCGGCCGCAAATAAACGATTCCCGTGGGTGGGGCTGAGAACACGTGTCTCCAGCCCCACCCATGGCTAATAATTGGTTTTCCTGAATTTTTTTTATTCCTATAATTAGTACGTCTTTCCTATGAATTCCTATGATAGGTTTCGGAATTCCTACGAAAGAATTCTGGCAGCAAATAAACGATTCCCGTGGGTGCGGCTAGGAACACGTGTCTCCAGCACCACCCATGGCTAATAATTGGTTTCCCTGAATTTTTTTTATTCCTATAATTAGTGCGACATTCCTATGATAGGTTTCGGAATTCCTACGAAAGAATTCCGGCCGCAAATAAACGATTCCCGTGAGTGGGGCTTTGAACACGTGTCTCCAGCCCCACCCATTTCTAATAATTGGTTTCCCTGAATTTTTTTTTAATATAATTAGTGCGACATTGCTATGAGGTCCTATGATAGGTTTCGGAATTCCTACGAAAGAATTCCGGCCGCAAATAAACGATTCCCGTGGGTGGGGCTGGGAACACGTGTCTCCAGCCCCACCCATGGCCAATAATTGGTTTCCCTGAATTATTTTTATTCCTATAATTAGCGCGTCATTCCTATGAATTCCTAAGATAATTTTCGGATTTCCTACGAAAGAATTCCGGCCGCAAATAAACGATTCCCGTGGGTGCGGCTGGGAACACGTACCTCCAGCCCCACCTATGGGTAATAATTGGTTTCCCTGAATTATTTTTATTCCTATAATTAGTGCGTCATTCCTATGAGCTTCTATGATAGGTTTCGGAATTCCTACGAAAGAATTCCGGCCGCAAATAAACGATTCCCGTGGGTGGGGCTGGGAACACGTGTCTCCAGCCCCACCTATGGTCAATTATTGGTTTCCCTGAATTATTTTTATTCCTATAATTAGTGCGTCATTCCTATGAGTTTCTATGATAGGTTTCGGTATTCCTACGAAAGAATTCCGGCCGCAAATAAAGGATTCCCGTGGGTGCGGCTGGGAACACGTGTCTCCAGCTCCGCCCATGGCTAATAATTGGTTTCCCTGAATTTTTTTTATTCCTATAATTAGTGCGACATTCCTATGAGGTCCTATGATAGGTTTCGGAATTCCTACGAAAGAATTCCGGCCGCAAATAAACGATTCCCGTGTTTGGGGCTGGGAACACGTGTCTCCAGCCCCACCCATGGCTAATAATTGGTTTCCCTGAATTTTTTTAATTCCTATAATTAGTGCGACATTCCTTTGAGGTCCTATGATAGGTTTCGGAATTCCTACGAAAGAATTCCGGCCGCAAATAAACGATTCCCGTGGGTGCGGCTGGGAACACGTACCTCCAGCCCCACCTATGGCTAATAATTGGTTTCCCTGAATTTTTTTTATTCCTATAATTAGTGCGTCATTCCTATGAGCTTCTATGATAGGTTTCGGAATTAATACGAAAGAATTCCGGCCGCAAATAAACGATTCCCGTGGGTGGGGCTGGGAACACGTGTCTCCAGCCCCACCTATGGTCAATAATTGGTTTCCCTGAATTATTTTTATTCCTATAATTAGTGCGTCATTCCTATGAGTTTCTATGATAGGTTTCGGTATTCCTACGAAAGAATTCCGGCCGCAAATAAAGGATTCCCGTGGGTGCGGCTGGGAACACGTGTCTCCAGCAAAACCCATGGCTAATAATTGGTTTCCCTGAATTTTTTTTATTCCTATAATTAGTCCGTCATTCCTATGAATTCCTATGATAATTTTCGGAATTCCTACGAAAGAATTCTGGTCGCAAATAAACGATTCCCGTGGGTTTAGCTGGGATCACGTGTCTCCAGCTCCGCCCATGGCTAATAATTGGTTTCCCTGAATTTTTTTTATTCCTATAATTAGTGCGACATTCCTATGAGGTCCTATGATAGGTTTCGGAATTCCTACGAAAGAATTCCGGCCGCAAATAAACGATTCCCGTGTTTGGGGCTGGGTACACGTGTCTCCAGCCCCACCCATGGCTAATAATTGGTTTCCCTGAATTTTTTTATTCCTATAATTGGTGCGACATTCCTATGAGGTCCTATGATAGGTTTCGGAATTCCTACGAAAGAATTCCGGCCGCAAATAAACGATTCCCGTGGGTGGGGCTGGGAACACGTGTCTCCAGCCCCACCCATGGCTAATAATTGGTTTCCCTGAATTTTTTTTAATCCTTAAATAAGTACGTCATTCCTATGAGGTCCTATGTTAGGTTTCGGAATTCCTACGAAAGAATTCCGGTCGCAAATAAACGCTTCCCGTGTTGGGGGCTGGGAACACGTGTCTCCAGCCCCACCCATGACTAATAATTGGTTTCCTTGAATTTTTTATATTCCTAAAATTAGTACGTCATTCCTATGAATTCCTATAATAGGATTCGGAATTCCTACGAAAGAATTCCGGCCGCAAATAAACGATGCCCGTGGGTGGGGCTGGGAACACGTGTCTCCAGCCCCACCTATGGTCAATAATTGGTTTCCCTGAATTATTTTTATTCCTATAATTAGTGCGTCATTCCTATGAGTTTCTATGATAGGTTTCGGTATTCCTACGAAAGAATTCCGGCCGCAAATAAAGGATTCCCGTGGGTGCGGCTGGGAACACGTGTCTCCAGCCCAACCCATGGCTAATAATTGGTTTCCCTGAATTTTTTTTATTCCTATAATTAGTCCGTCATTCCTATGAATTCCTATGATAAATTTCGGAATTCCTACGAAAGAATTCTGGTCGCAAATAAACGATTCCCGTGGGTTTAGCTGGGATCACGTGTCTCCAGCTCCGCCCATGGCTAATAATTGGTTTCCCTGAATTTTTTTTATTCCTATAATTAGTGCGACATTCCTATGAGGTCCTATGATAGGTTTCGGAATTCCTACGAAAGAATTCTGGTCGCAAATAAACGATTCCCGTGGGTTTAGCTGGGATCACGTGTCTCCAGCTCCGCCCATGGCTAATAATTGGTTTCCCTGAATTTTTTTTAATCCTATAATTAGTGCGTCATTCCTATGAGGTCCTATGATAGGTTTCGGAATTCCTACGAAAGAATTCCGGCCGCAAATAAACGATTCCCGTGTTTTGGGCTGGGAACACGTGTCTCCAGCCCCACCCATGGCTAATAATTGGTTTCCCTGAATTTTTTTTATTCCTATAATTGGTGCGACATTCCTATGAATTCCTTTGATAATTTTCGGAATTCCTACGAAAGAATTCCGGCCGCAAATAACGATTCCCGTGGGTGGGGCTGAGAACACGTGTCTCCAGCCCCACCCATGGCTAATAATTGGTTTTCCTGAATTTTTTTTATTCCTATAATTAGTACGTCTTTCCTATGAATTCCTATGATAATTTTCGGAATTCCTACGAAAGAATTCCGGCCGCAAATAAACGATTCCCGTGAGTGGGGCTTTGAACACGTGTCTCCAGCCCCACCCATTTCTAATAATTGGTTTCCCTGAATTTTTTTTTAATATAATTAGTACGTCTTTCCTATGAATTCCTATGATAGGTTTCGGAATTCCTACGAAAGAATTCTGGCCGCAAATAAACGATTCCCGTGGGTGCGGCTAGGAACACGTGTCTCCAGCCCCACCCATGGCTAATAATTGGTTTCCCTGAATTTTTTTTATTCCTATAATTAGTGCGACATTCCTATGATAGGTTTCGGAATTCCTACGAAAGAATTCCGGCCGCAAATAAACGATTCCCGTGGGTGGGGCTGAGAACACGTGTCTCCAGCCCCACCTATGGCTAATAATTGGTTTCCCTGAATTTTTTTTATTCCTATAATTAGCCCGTCTTTCCTATGAATTCCTATGATAATTTTCGGAATTCCTACGAAAGAATTCCGGCCGCAAATAAACGATTCCCGTGGGTGGGGCTGAGAACACGTGTCTCCAGCCCCACCCATGGCTAATAATTGGTTTTCCTGAATTTTTTTTATTCCTATAATTAGTACGTCTTTCCTATGAATTCCTATGATAGGTTTCGGAATTCCTACGAAAGAATTCTGGCAGCAAATAAACGATTCCCGTGGGTGCGGCTAGGAACACGTGTCTCCAGCACCACCCATGGCTAATAATTGGTTTCCCTGAATTTTTTTTATTCCTATAATTAGTGCGACATTCCTATGATAGGTTTCGGAATTCCTACGAAAGAATTCCGGCCGCAAATAAACGATTCCCGTGAGTGGGGCTTTGAACACGTGTCTCCAGCCCCACCCATTTCTAATAATTGGTTTCCCTGAATTTTTTTTTAATATAATTAGTGCGACATTGCTATGAGGTCCTATGATAGGTTTCGGAATTCCTACGAAAGAATTCCGGCCGCAAATAAACGATTCCCGTGGGTGGGGCTGGGAACACGTGTCTCCAGCCCCACCCATGGCCAATAATTGGTTTCCCTGAATTATTTTTATTCCTATAATTAGCGCGTCATTCCTATGAATTCCTAAGATAATTTTCGGAATTCCTACGAAAGAATTCCGGCCGCAAATAAACGATTCCCGTGGGTGCGGCTGGGAACACGTACCTCCAGCCCCACCTATGGGTAATAATTGGTTTCCCTGAATTATTTTTATTCCTATAATTAGTGCGTCATTCCTATGAGCTTCTATGATAGGTTTCGGAATTCCTACGAAAGAATTCCGGCCGCAAATAAACGATTCCCGTGGGTGGGGCTGGGAACACGTGTCTCCAGCCCCACCTATGGTCAATTATTGGTTTCCCTGAATTATTTTTATTCCTATAATTAGTGCGTCATTCCTATGAGTTTCTATGATAGGTTTCGGTATTCCTACGAAAGAATTCCGGCCGCAAATAAAGGATTCCCGTGGGTGCGGCTGGGAACACGTGTCTCCAGCTCCGCCCATGGCTAATAATTGGTTTCCCTGAATTTTTTTTATTCCTATAATTAGTGCGACATTCCTATGAGGTCCTATGATAGGTTTCGGAATTCCTACGAAAGAATTCCGGCCGCAAATAAACGATTCCCGTGTTTGGGGCTGGGAACACGTGTCTCCAGCCCCACCCATGGCTAATAATTGGTTTCCCTGAATTTTTTTAATTCCTATAATTAGTGCGACATTCCTTTGAGGTCCTATGATAGGTTTCGGAATTCCTACGAAAGAATTCCGGCCGCAAATAAACGATTCCCGTGTTTTGGGCTGGGAACACGTGTCTCCAGCCCCACCCATGGCTAATAATTGGTTTCCCTGAATTTTTTTTATTCCTATAATTGGTGCGACATTCCTATGAATTCCTTTGATAATTTTCGGAATTCCTACGAAAGAATTCCGGCCGCAAATAAACGATTCCCGAGGGTGGGGCTGAGAACACGTGTCTCCAGCCCCACCCATGGCTAATAATTGGTTTTCCTGAATTTTTTTTATTCCTATAATTAGTACGTCTTTCCTATGAATTCCTATGATAATTTTCGGAATTCCTACGAAAGAATTCCGGCCGCAAATAAACGATTCCCGTGAGTGGGGCTTTGAACACGTGTCTCCAGCCCCACCCATTTCTAATAATTGGTTTCCCTGAATTTTTTTTTAATATAATTAGTACGTCTTTCCTATGAATTCCTATGATAGGTTTCGGAATTCCTACGAAAGAATTCTGGCCGCAAATAAACGATTCCCGTGGATGCGGCTAGGAACACGTGTCTCCAGCCCCACCCATGGCTAATAATTGGTTTCCCTGAATTTTTTTTATTCCTATAATTAGTGCGACATTCCTATGATAGGTTTCGGAATTCCTACGAAAGAATTCCGGCCGCAAATAAACGATTCCCGTGGGTGGGGCTGAGAACACGTGTCTCCAGCCCCACCTATGGCTAATAATTGGTTTCCCTGAATTTTTTTTATTCCTATAATTAGCCCGTCTTTCCTATGAATTCCTATGATAATTTTCGGAATTCCTACGAAAGAATTCCGGCCGCAAATAAACGATTCCCGTGGGTGGGGCTGAGAACACGTGTCTCCAGCCCCACCCATGGCTAATAATTGGTTTTCCTGAATTTTTTTTATTCCTATAATTAGTGCGACATTCCTATGAGGTCCTATGATAGGTTTCGGAATTCCTACGAAAGAATTCCGGCCGCAAATAAACGATTCCCGTGTTTGGGGCTGGGAACACGTGTCTCCAGCCCCACCCATGGCTAATAATTGGTTTCCCTGAATTTTTTTAATTCCTATAATTAGTGCGACATTCCTTTGAGGTCCTATGATAGGTTTCGGAATTCCTACGAAAGAATTCCGGCCGCAAATAAACGATTCCCGTGGGTGGGGCTGGGAACACGTGTCTCCAGCCCCACCTATGGTCAATTATTGGTTTCCCTGAATTATTTTTATTCCTATAATTAGTGCGTCATTCCTATGAGTTTCTATGATAGGTTTCGGTATTCCTACGAAAGAATTCCGGCCGCAAATAAAGGATTCCCGTGGGTGCGGCTGGGAACACGTGTCTCCAGCTCCGCCCATGGCTAATAATTGGTTTCCCTGAATTTTTTTTATTCCTATAATTAGTGCGACATTCCTATGAGGTCCTATGATAGGTTTCGGAATTCCTACGAAAGAATTCCGGCCGCAAATAAACGATTCCCGTGTTTGGGGCTGGGAACACGTGTCTCCAGCCCCACCCATGGCTAATAATTGGTTTCCCTGAATTTTTTTAATTCCTATAATTAGTGCGACATTCCTTTGAGGTCCTATGATAGGTTTCGGAATTCCTACGAAAGAATTCCGGCCGCAAATAAACGATTCCCGTGTTTTGGGCTGGGAACACGTGTCTCCAGCCCCACCCATGGCTAATAATTGGTTTCCCTGAATTTTTTTATTCCTATAATTGGTGCGACATTCCTATGAATTCCTTTGATAATTTTCGGAATTCCTACGAAAGAATTCCGGCCGCAAATAAACGATTCCCGAGGGTGGGGCTGAGAACACGTGTCTCCAGCCCCACCCATGGCTAATAATTGGTTTTCCTGAATTTTTTTTATTCCTATAATTAGTACGTCTTTCCTATGAATTCCTATGATAATTTTCGGAATTCCTACGAAAGAATTCCGGCCGCAAATAAACGATTCCCGTGAGTGGGGCTTTGAACACGTGTCTCCAGCCCCACCCATTTCTAATAATTGGTTTCCCTGAATTTTTTTTTAATATAATTAGTACGTCTTTCCTATGAATTCCTATGATAGGTTTCGGAATTCCTACGAAAGAATTCTGGCCGCAAATAAACGATTCCCGTGGGTGCGGCTAGGAACACGTGTCTCCAGCCCCACCCATGGCTAATAATTGGTTTCCCTGAATTTTTTTATTCCTATAATTAGTGCGACATTCCTATGATAGGTTTCGGAATTCCTACGAAAGAATTCCGGCCGCAAATAAACGATTCCCGTGGGTGGGGCTGAGAACACGTGTCTCCAGCCCCACCTATGGCTAATAATTGGTTTCCCTGAATTTTTTTTATTCCTATAATTAGCCCGTCTTTCCTATGAATTCCTATGATAATTTTCGGAATTCCTACGAAAGAATTCCGGCCGCAAATAAACGATTCCCGTGGGTGGGGCTGAGAACACGTGTCTCCAGCCCCACCCATGGCTAATAATTGGTTTTCCTGAATTTTTTTTATTCCTATAATTAGTACGTCTTTCCTATGAATTCCTATGATAGGTTTCGGAATTCCTACGAAAGAATTCTGGCAGCAAATAAACGATTCCCGTGGGTGCGGCTAGGAACACGTGTCTCCAGCACCACCCATGGCTAATAATTGGTTTCCCTGAATTTTTTTTATTCCTATAATTAGTGCGACATTCCTATGATAGGTTTCGGAATTCCTACGAAAGAATTCCGGCCGCAAATAAACGATTCCCGTGAGTGGGGCTTTGAACACGTGTCTCCAGCCCCACCCATTTCTAATAATTGGTTTCCCTGAATTTTTTTTTAATATAATTAGTGCGACATTGCTATGAGGTCCTATGATAGGTTTCGGAATTCCTACGAAAGAATTCCGGCCGCAAATAAACGATTCCCGTGGGTGGGGCTGGGAACACGTGTCTCCAGCCCCACCCATGGCCAATAATTGGTTTCCCTGAATTATTTTTATTCCTATAATTAGCGCGTCATTCCTATGAATTCCTAAGATAATTTTCGGAATTCCTACGAAAGAATTCCGGCCGCAAATAAACGATTCCCGTGGGTGCGGCTGGGAACACGTACCTCCAGCCCCACCTATGGGTAATAATTGGTTTCCCTGAATTATTTTTATTCCTATAATTAGTGCGTCATTCCTATGAGCTTCTATGATAGGTTTCGGAATTCCTACGAAAGAATTCCGGCCGCAAATAAACGATTCCCGTGGGTGGGGCTGGGAACACGTGTCTCCAGCCCCACCTATGGTCAATTATTGGTTTCCCTGAATTATTTTTATTCCTATAATTAGTGCGTCATTCCTATGAGTTTCTATGATAGGTTTCGGTATTCCTACGAAAGAATTCCGGCCGCAAATAAAGGATTCCCGTGGGTGCGGCTGGGAACACGTGTCTCCAGCTCCGCCCATGGCTAATAATTGGTTTCCCTGAATTTTTTTTATTCCTATAATTAGTGCGACATTCCTATGAGGTCCTATGATAGGTTTCGGAATTCCTACGAAAGAATTCCGGCCGCAAATAAACGATTCCCGTGTTTGGGGCTGGGAACACGTGTCTCCAGCCCCACCCATGGCTAATAATTGGTTTCCCTGAATTTTTTTAATTCCTATAATTAGTGCGACATTCCTTTGAGGTCCTATGATAGGTTTCGGAATTCCTACGAAAGAATTCCGGCCGCAAATAAACGATTCCCGTGGGTGCGGCTGGGAACACGTACCTCCAGCCCCACCTATGGCTAATAATTGGTTTCCCTGAATTTTTTTTATTCCTATAATTAGTGCGTCATTCCTATGAGCTTCTATGATAGGTTTCGGAATTAATACGAAAGAATTCCGGCCGCAAATAAACGATTCCCGTGGGTGGGGCTGGGAACACGTGTCTCCAGCCCCACCTATGGTCAATAATTGGTTTCCCTGAATTATTTTTATTCCTATAATTAGTGCGTCATTCCTATGAGTTTCTATGATAGGTTTCGGTATTCCTACGAAAGAATTCCGGCCGCAAATAAAGGATTCCCGTGGGTGCGGCTGGGAACACGTGTCTCCAGCAAAACCCATGGCTAATAATTGGTTTCCCTGAATTTTTTTTATTCCTATAATTAGTCCGTCATTCCTATGAATTCCTATGATAATTTTCGGAATTCCTACGAAAGAATTCTGGTCGCAAATAAACGATTCCCGTGGGTTTAGCTGGGATCACGTGTCTCCAGCTCCGCCCATGGCTAATAATTGGTTTCCCTGAATTTTTTTATTCCTATAATTAGTGCGACATTCCTATGAGGTCCTATGATAGGTTTCGGAATTCCTACGAAAGAATTCCGGCCGCAAATAAACGATTCCCGTGTTTGGGGCTGGGTACACGTGTCTCCAGCCCCACCCATGGCTAATAATTGGTTTCCCTGAATTTTTTTTATTCCTATAATTGGTGCGACATTCCTATGAGGTCCTATGATAGGTTTCGGAATTCCTACGAAAGAATTCCGGCCGCAAATAAACGATTCCCGTGGGTGGGGCTGGGAACACGTGTCTCCAGCCCCACCCATGGCTAATAATTGGTTTCCCTGAATTTTTTTTAATCCTTAAATAAGTACGTCATTCCTATGAGGTCCTATGTTAGGTTTCGGAATTCCTACGAAAGAATTCCGGTCGCAAATAAACGCTTCCCGTGTTGGGGGCTGGGAACACGTGTCTCCAGCCCCACCCATGACTAATAATTGGTTTCCTTGAATTTTTTATATTCCTAAAATTAGTACGTCATTCCTATGAATTCCTATAATAGGATTCGGAATTCCTACGAAAGAATTCCGGCCGCAAATAAACGATGCCCGTGGGTGGGGCTGGGAACACGTGTCTCCAGCCCCACCTATGGTCAATAATTGGTTTCCCTGAATTATTTTTATTCCTATAATTAGTGCGTCATTCCTATGAGTTTCTATGATAGGTTTCGGTATTCCTACGAAAGAATTCCGGCCGCAAATAAAGGATTCCCGTGGGTGCGGCTGGGAACACGTGTCTCCAGCCCAACCCATGGCTAATAATTGGTTTCCCTGAATTTTTTTTATTCCTATAATTAGTCCGTCATTCCTATGAATTCCTATGATAATTTTCGGAATTCCTACGAAAGAATTCTGGTCGCAAATAAACGATTCCCGTGGGTTTAGCTGGGATCACGTGTCTCCAGCTCCGCCCATGGCTAATAATTGGTTTCCCTGAATTTTTTTTTATTCCTATAATTAGTGCGACATTCCTATGAGGTCCTATGATAGGTTTCGGAATTCCTACGAAAGAATTCCGGCCGCAAATAAACGATTCCCGTGTTTGGGGCTGGGTACACGTGTCTCCAGCCCCACCCATGGCTAATAATTGGTTTCCCTGAATTTTTTTTAATCCTTAAATAAGTACGTCATTCCTATGAGGTCCTATGTTAGGTTTCGGAATTCCTACGAAAGAATTCCGGTCGCAAATAAACGCTTCCCGTGTTGGGGGCTGGGAACACGTGTCTCCAGCCCCACCCATGACTAATAATTGGTTTCCTTGAATTTTTTATATTCCTAAAATTAGTACGTCATTCCTATGAATTCCTATAATAGGATTCGGAATTCCTACGAAAGAATTCCGGCCGCAAATAAACGATGCCCGTGGGTGGGGCTGGGAACACGTGTCTCCAGCCCCACCTATGGTCAATAATTGGTTTCCCTGAATTATTTTTATTCCTATAATTAGTGCGTCATTCCTATGAGTTTCTATGATAGGTTTCGGTATTCCTACGAAAGAATTCCGGCCGCAAATAAAGGATTCCCGTGGGTGCGGCTGGGAACACGTGTCTCCAGCCCAACCCATGGCTAATAATTGGTTTCCCTGAATTTTTTTTATTCCTATAATTAGTCCGTCATTCCTATGAATTCCTATGATAAATTTCGGAATTCCTACGAAAGAATTCTGGTCGCAAATAAACGATTCCCGTGGGTGGGGCTGGGAACACGTGTCTCCAGCCCCACCTATGGTCAATAATTGGTTTCCCTGAATTATTTTTATTCCTATAATTAGTGCGTCATTCCTATGAGTTTCTATGATAGGTTTCGGTATTCCTACGAAAGAATTCCGGCCGCAAATAAAGGATTCCCGTGGGTTGCGGCAGGGAACACGTGTCTCCAGCCCAACCCATGGCTAATAATTGGTTTCCCTGAATTTTTTTTATTCCTATAATTAGTCCGTCATTCCTATGAATTCCTATGATAATTTTCGGAATTCCTACGAAAGAATTCTGGTCGCAAATAAACGATTCCCGTGGGTTTAGCTGGGATCACGTGTCTCCAGCTCCGCCCATGGCTAATAATTGGTTTCCCTGAATTTTTTTTTATTCCTATAATTAGTGCGACATTCCTATGAGGTCCTATGATAGGTTTCGGAATTCCTACGAAAGAATTCTGGTCGCAAATAAACGATTCCCGTGGGTTTAGCTGGGATCACGTGTCTCCAGCTCCGCCCATGGCTAATAATTGGTTTCCCTGAATTTTTTTTATTCCTATAATTAGTGCGTCATTCCTATGAGGTCCTATGATAGGTTTCGGAATTCCTACGAAAGAATTCCGGCCGCAAATAAACGATTCCCGTGTTTTGGGCTGGGAACACGTGTCTCCAGCCCCACCCATGGCTAATAATTGGTTTCCCTGAATTTTTTTTATTCCTATAATTGGTGCGACATTCCTATGAGGTCCTATGATAGGTTTCGGAATTCCTACGAAAGAATTCCGTCCGCAAATAAACGATTCCCGTGGGTGGGGCTGGGAACACGTGTCTCCAGCCCCACCCATGGCTAATAATTGGTTTCCCTGAATTTTTTTTAATCCTTAAATAAGTACGTCATTCCTATGAGGTCCTATGTTAGGTTTCGGAATTCCTACGAAAGAATTCCGGCCGCAAATAAACGCTTCCCGTGTTGGGGGCTGGGAACACGTGTCTCCAGCCCCACCCATGACTAATAATTGGTTTCCTTGAATTTTTTATATTCCTTAAATTAGTACGTCATTCCTATGAATTCCTATAATAGGATTCGGAATTCCTACGAAAGAATTCCGGCCGCAAATAAACGATGCCCGTTTGTGGGGCTGGGAACACGTACCTCCAGCCCCAACCATGGCCAATAATTGGTTTCCCTAAATTATTTTTATTCCTATAATTAGCACGTCATTCCTATGAATTCCTATGATAGGTTTTGGAATTCCTACGAAAGAATTCCGGCCGCAAATAAACGATTCCCGTGGGTGCGGCTGGGAACACATACCTCCAGCCCCACCTATGGCTAATAATTGGTTTCCCTGAATTTTTTTTATTCCTATAATTAGTGCGTCATTCCTATGAGCTTCTATGATAGGTTTCGGAATTCCTACGAAAGAATTCCGGCCGCAAATAAACGATTGCCGTGGGTGGGGCTAAGAACACGTGTCTCCAGCCCCGCACATGCTTAAAAATTGGTTTTCCTGAATTTTTTTATTCCTATAATTAGTACGTCATTCCTATGAATTCCCATGATATGTTTCGGAATTCCTACGAAAGAATTCCGGCCGCAAATAAACGATTCCCGTGGGTGCGGTTGGGAACACGTGTCTCCAGCCCCACCTATGGCTAATAATTGGTTTCCCTGAATTTTTTTTATTCCTATAATTAGTGCGTCATTCCTATGAGCTTCTATGATAGGTTTCGGAATTCCTACGAAAGAATTCCGGCCGCAAATAAACGATTCCCGTGGGTGGGGCTGGGAACACGTGTCTCCAGCCCCACCTATGGTCAATAATTGGTTTCCCTGAATTATTTTTATTCCTATGAGTTTCTATGATAGGTTTCGGTATTCCTACAAAAGAATTCCGGCCGCAAATAAAGGATTCCCGTGGTAGCGGCTGGGAACACGTGTCTCCAGCCCAACCCATGGCTAATAATTGGTTTCCCTGAATTTTTTTTATTCCTATAATTAGTCCGTCATTCCTATGAATTCCTATGATAATTTTCGGAATTCCTACGAAAGAATTCTGGTCGCAAATAAACGATTCCCGTGGGTTTAGCTGGGATCACGTGTCTCCAGCTCCGCCCATGGCTAATAATTGGTTTCCCTGAATTTTTTTTATTCCTATAATTAGTGCGACATTCCTATGAGGTCCTATGATAGGTTTCGGAATTCCTACGAAAGAATTCCGGCCGCAAATAAACGATTCCCGTGTTTGGGGCTGGGAACACGTGTCTCCAGCCCCATCCATGGCTAATAATTGGTTTCCCTGAATTTTTTTTATTCCTATAATTGGTGCGACATTCCTATGAGGTCCTATGATAGGTTTCGGAATTCCTACGAAAGAATTCCGGCCGCAAATAAACGATTCCCGTGGGTGGGGCTGGGAACACGTGTCTCCAGCCCCACCAATGGCTAATAATTGGTTTCCCTGAATTTTTTTTATGCCTATAATTAGTCCGTCTTTCCTATGAATTCCTATGATAATTTTCGGAATTCCTACGAAAGAATTCCGGCCGCAAATAAACGATGCCCGTGGGTGGGGCTGGAGACATGTGAGTAGGTTAAAAAAGGGAGTTCTGGCGCCTCATCCTGCTGGCAAATTCCTATACCCGTCTGCTCAACCCACTATACCGTATGCTCAACCCAATATACCCGTCTGCTCAACCCACTATACCTGTCTGCTCATCCCACTATACCCGTCTGCTCATCCCTATACATTGACGGCTGCTGAACCCACCATATATCACACACGATGTACCCCCGCCACCCCACCACCTATGACCACCGCACGACATTGCCGCCGCGCGTGGAAAATAATTTAAAAATATTATCCGCCGGACCGAGATTCGAACCCGGTTAACTTGCATGATAAGCGACAACCGTACCACTGGGCCGCCTACTCGCATCTGTTTGAGAAGGTATATTCTATCTCATTTAACTGACGTCCGCTTACGTACGCGAGGTATAAATTCCCCCAGAATTCTTTCGTAGGAATTCCGAAAATTATCATAGGAATTCACAGGAATGACGGACTAATTATAGGTATAAAAAAAATTCAGGGAAACCAATTATTAGCCATGGGTTGGGCTGGAGACACGTGTTCCCAGCCGCACCCACGGGAATCCTTTATTTGCGGCCGGAATTCTTTCCTAGGAATTCCGAAACCTATCATAGGAATGTCGCACTAATTATAGGAATAAATAAATTCAGGGAAACCAATTATTAGTCATGGGCGGAGCTGGAGACACGTGATCCCAGCCCCACCCACGGGAATCGTTTATTTGCGACCAGAATTCTTTCGTAGGAATTCCGAAAATTATCATAGGAATTCACAGGAATGACGGACTAATAAAAGGAATAAAAAAAATTCAGGGAAACCAATTATTAGCCATGGGCGGAGCTGGAGACACGTGATCCCAGCTAAACCCACGGGAATCGTTTATTTGCGACCAGAATTCTTTCGTAGGAATTCCGAAAATTATCATAGGAATTCATAGGAATGACGGACTAATTATAGGAATAAAAAAATTCAGGGAAACCAATTATTAGCCATGGGTTGGGCTGGAGACACGTGTTCCCTGCCGCAACCCACGGGAATCCTTTATTTGCGGCCGGAATTCTTTCGTAGGAATACCGAAACCTATCATAGAAACTCATAGGAATGACGCACTAATTATAGGAATAAAAATAATTCAGGGAAACCAATTATTGACCATAGGTGGGGCTGGAGACACGTGTTCCCAGCCCCACCCACAGGAATCGTTTATTTGCGACCAGAATTCTTTCGTAGGAATTCCGAAATTTATCATAGGAATTCATAGGAATGACGGACTAATTATAGGAATAAAAAAAATTCAGGGAAACCAATTATTAGCCATTAGTTGGGCTGGAGACACGTGTTCCCAGCCGCACCCACGGGAATCCTTTATTTGCGGCCGGAATTCTTTCGTAGGAATACCGAAACCTATCATAGAAACTCATAGGAATGACGCACTAATTATAGGAATAAAAATAATTCAGGGAAACCAATTATTGACCATAGGTGGGGCTGGAGACACGTGTTCCCAGCCCCACCCACGGGCATCGTTTATTTGCTCCCGGAATTCTTTCGTAGGAATTCCGAAACCTATCATAGAAGCTCATAGGAATGACGCACTAATTATAGGAATAAAAAAATTCAGGGAAACCAATTATTAGCCATAGGTGGGGCTGGAGGTATGTGTTCCCAGCCGCACCCACGGGAATCGTTTATTTGCGGCCGGAATTCTTTCGTAGGAATTCCAATACTTATCATAGGAATTCATAGGAATGACGTGCTAATTATAGGAATAAAAATAATTTAGGGAAACCAATTATTGGCCATGGTTGGGGCTGGAGGTACGTGTTCCCAGCCCCACAAACGGGCATCGTTTATTTGCGGCTGGAATTCTTTCGTAGGAATTCCGAATCCTATTATAGGAATTCATAGGAATGACGTACTAATTTTAGGAATATAAAAAATTCAAGGAAACCAATTATTTGTCATGGGTGGGGCTGGAGACACGTGTTCCCAGCCCCCAACACGGGAAGCGTTTATTTGCGGCCGGAATTCTTTCGTAGGAATTCCGAAACCTAACATAGGACCTCATAGGAATGACGTACTTATTTAAGGATTAAAAAAAATTCAGGGAAACCAATTATTAGCCATGGGTTGGGCTGGAGACACGTGTTCCCAGCCGCACCCACGGGAATCCTTTATTTGCGGCCGGAATTCTTTCGTAGAAATTCCGAAACCTATCATAGGACCTCATAGGAATGTCGCACTAATTATAGGAATAAAAAAAATTCAGGGAAACCAATTATTAGCCATGGGCGGAGCTGGAGACACGTGTTCCCAGCCCCACCCACGGGAATCGTTTATTTGCGACCAGAATTCTTTCGTAGGAATTCCGAAATTTATCATAGGAATTCATAGGAATGACGGACTAATTATAGGAATAAAAAAATTCAGGGAAACCAATTATTAGCCATGGGTTGGGCTGGAGACACGTGTTCCCAGCCGCACCCACGGGAATCCTTTATTTGCGGCCGGAATTCTTTCGTAGGAATACCGAAACCTATCATAGAAACTCATAGGAATGACTCACTAAGTATAGGAATAAAAATAATTCATGGAAACCAATTATTGACCATAGGTGGGGCTGGAGACACGTGAGTAGGTTAAAAAAGGGAGTTCTGGCGCCTCATCCTGCTGGCAAATTCCTATACCCGTCTGCTCAACCCACTATACCGTATGCTCAACCCAATATACCCGTCTGCTCAACCCACTATACCTGTCTGCTCATCCCACTATACCCGTCTGCTCATCCCTATACATTGACGGCTGCTGAACCCACCATATATCACACACGATGTACCCCCGCCACCCCACCACCTATGACCACCGCACGACATTGCCGCCGCGCGTGGAAAATAATTTAAAAATATTATCCGCCGGACCGAGATTCGAACCCGGTTAACTTGCATGATAAGCGACAACCGTACCACTGGGCCGCCTACTCGCATCTGTTTGAGAAGGTATATTCTATCTCATTTAACTGACGTCCGCTTACGTACGCGAGGTATAAATTCCCCCAGAATTCTTTCGTAGGAATTCCGAAAATTATCATAGGAATTCACAGGAATGACGGACTAATTATAGGTATAAAAAAAATTCAGGGAAACCAATTATTAGCCATGGATTGGGCTGGAGACACGTGTTCCCAGCCGCACCCACGGGAATCCTTTATTTGCGGCCGGAATTCTTTCGTAGGAATTCCGAAACCTATCATA